TTATTCAGTTATGTGTGACGTGACGAACGCTCAGTCTAAAAAGATGTTTTTGGCCTTCTTACATATTTAGAGCCATAAAACCTATGTACTGTGTAAATTATGTGTCAGTCTTAAATTAAAGAGCTACAAATTTATATCTAATCTTAGGTTTTAGAACAAACAAAAATGTCAAAATACTTTAAATTCACCTTATAATGGAGTAGGTAGTATGTGCATTTCATGATAGTTCAATGGAAGTTTTTGAAGGTTTTCTGTCCGTTCTTAGAACGCAAAGGAATCTGTAAATTGTAGGAAAGAACCAAGTAAGTCCTGGAAATATTATGAAGGTATAAGTAGTACAGTCAAATTCAAGAAACCACTTGTAAAAGTTTGAATTGACTATCTGACCCAATAGGACCACGCCTAAAAACTCAACTTTTTAAATTCCATCAGAATCGGGATACCTTAATTCTCGTGGTTAATCTGGGTTTCTGTTTACAAAGTAGCATTAAATCCCAGCTAACGTCATGAAACTCTGTCTGAAACAACCTTAATAGTCTCACTAATGTCACACCAAGCTCTCTTCAATTCTGTACAATAGAAAATTTCTTTCGTGTTGCAGGTGAAAGATTTTCTGAATCATAGTGAAAACAAACATTATAAGCGTGCATGTCTGAGCAATGATGCAGCGCAGTGATCCTGTAGTTCAGGTTATTAAAGCCAAGCCTTCTTCTTTGTGTTGTAATTCCACAACAGTTCCACTTGAGGGCAGCAAACGCTAAGATGTTTACCATTGCACCCAGAAGAAGAAGCCTCAGCCTTTTTTACAAAAATTCTTATTAGCAGGAAACGGAAACAAAAAAACAAAGTTGAACCCTTTTGACAAATGTCTTGTTTGGAAAATGATCCTGCTCTCTCATGTGTGGCTAATTTTTATCCAAACGTTTAGTCTGAATAACCAGAAAATAATCAGAAATAGCAAGTTAGAAGGAATCCATGATCAGAAGAACATATCGTGGCTATTTTGTCTGAAAATCCAAACTTACATGCACGTGTAAAATTTTAAATATGCTTATTTGCCATCATTGACTTGATAAAAATACAAAAACTCGTCTTTATGCCAGAAATAACATGATAAAATGATCCACGATCAGAACTAGATAACCTATTGTTGCTATTTTACTAAAAATCCAAACTTAAATTCAATTCTAAAAAGTAAAATGTGTGTCATCAGTGAATTTATGAAAAATACAAAAACTGATCTTTTCAGCCTAAATTGGTGTTGCATCCAAGGTCTTGAACTTCTAGTAATACACTCCACGCATAATAAACTTAGTTCTGCTGGTTAACATTTGTCGGCCCTGAAAAAAAAAAAAAAAACAGTTTGTGATCAACTTGACAACAGTGACTGAACTTTTTCTGATGCTCCTTTCATGTTTTTCTCCAAAACAGAATATGTTTAGTTGTGTCTAGTTGAACTAGATTTGCCACAGTTTAACAAAAAAGATCAAGGTTTTACGTGAAACGCTGTAGTTAGGCCTAACTAGTATTTTCATACTGAAACATTTTTGCATGGATATTTTTTATATTTCTTTGGAATAGTTTAAAGCTACTCTTATAATTTTGAAAATTTGAAGATAATTTTGTCTTTATGTCAAAATCTGTATATGTCATTATTTCTTAGTCATGTTGATGCAATACATATAGTTCACAGTGGGATGTGGACAAATATTTCTCTTAATATGTACTCTCTTGGGGCAGATTTTCAGCTTTTTGTAGATACCTGATGTCTTCATCTAAGTCACACAACTGCAAATCTATGATAGATAATATATAAACATCTATGTTGATGATATTATGACATTGTATGTTATCTGTTTACTGAGAATCCTACAGCAGTTTGAGTCATGACTTAAAAATGTAATTTGAGTTCTTGAAAATGGTTTTCTGTGTTTTATCACACTTATGACAATATGAGTGTTTGAAAATATCTGTATTTTAGAAATATAGAGGTGGAGTGATGTGGTTTTTTTATTGTTCTTCAGGACATCATGACTTATTATCTTTCCTCACTCCTGGATTATTTTTGCATCATTTATTGCTGAGGCATCAGCCAAGTTACATCACCTGTTGATTTTCAGGGAAATAGATATTCCTGGCTTAACACCGTTTAGCTCACAGTCACATGTGGACAAATGTTATTTCTAAATAAATTCACTGTATGAGCAAAATGACTGGGGCTTTTTTACTTTTTTTATTTTCTTTTTTTTATTTTCATGCACATTTGCGCCAGCTGCTGTATCACGGTATATGCTGATGACATTCTGATATTTTCTGTTAAGTAGTTATTCATGAAAAAATGCTTTTTCTGTTCCCTTTTATTACTATGGACAATTTTATTACCTGAAGGTTTCTGTCATTTAAAAGGAGTAATGGGATTGCTAATGCTTATTCAGGATACAAGGACGTCTATTGTAACACTTCAGGATTATTTTGAGTCTTTTACCATGGAAAGCCTCTACACTGTTGTTTTGCACACATAAAACAAGTGCAAGCTGAAATACACCTTTTTCTACTACATGTAGAAAATAAGTTAATTTCTGTTTAATTGCAATTTTTTTATTGCATTTTTTATTTTCGATTTCATGCATTTTATTTTTTGCTCAATATTAAAGTAAAAAATATATATAGTTTGTATTCCTCATAGATGGATAAAAAAAAAATAGAAGTGCTGAGGAAAGCTTTGATTTTATTTTGTGCCTCATATGAAATGTATTTGTAATATTGCCATCATTAGCAAAAGTAATGGACCTAAATTAAAATCTCGACATCCGGTGACCTGAACGAAAGCATGAAAACAGACATTTTCCAAGATGAAAATTATTTTATTATTACTCTTTTAAATTAACAAACACTGCTATACATATTGCTGTTTTTATTCATTTTGAATCATTTTGAACAGTTAAAGCATTTGGGAAAACAAAAAAGAAGAAGAAGAAGAAGAAATTGTAGTTCAACTGGCGACAGACAGCAGATGACATGTACAGTAGAACATCTACAGTCGATGGCTTTCCTATGTGTGTGGAGAGGGGGGCTCCAGAACGCTCCGACATAAAGACATTTAGACGGTTTTGGTTCTCAGATCTGTCCCTTTGTGCTGTCCAGCCAAATTAAAGATTCCCCCCCCCCCGTTGATTGAAAACAGCCAGTCAAATTAAAATTACATCAAAAAACAGCTGACGAGTTCTTTCTAAACGAGTAGCAGCAGCTTGGATTGGCTTTAAAATGTAGTTTTCTGCATCCGGGAATCATCTCAAATTCTTGTCATTAGAAAAAGAAAAGGGCTGTTTGGGTTCAAACCCCGTCGCGTTAAATTCATATGGAATGTTTCAAGTAAACTAAATATATGGTAAATATCGCTGTTCTGTCAGTGCATGATAGCCCAAGCCCACTTCCCCTTTAACATATACAAATGATGAACAAGAAGTTCTTCAAAGTGTTCGCTCTTTCACATCAGGCCAGCTGTAGAGAGAGTCTTCTTCATCCTATTCCTCGTCGTCTAAAAGTACCTCCTGCACCCAGAAACCAGCCCGTCTGAGTTGGGTTTAAACATCTTTGTTGTACTAAAAGTGACTGCTTTACAAACACCATATAGCCTATACATATTTATATATATAAACAGGGTTGACATCATTTGGCAGCTGGCGACAATCTGGACCACCGTGGCTTTTGTTCAAGTTTGACCAAAAAAATCCCTCCTTCTATTTTAGACGAGGACTGATGAAACACAGGATTTACACGTGCCAAGAAAAAGCGGATTTGGCTTTTTGAAACCCGAGCGGCCCCTGAGAAGGCAGCGGCGGAACAAAAGGATGTTTATTTAGAGAACGAAGCGGAGGAGGGTTTTGTTCAAACTTTGTTGTTTTTTTTTAATGTCGGAGCAAAAGACGACTCACAACAATTAAATGAAACCTTTTTTTTTTTTTTTCTTTTTTGAAAGTACCACCTCTGCCACAGTCACTCGTCACGAACGACGGGGGTTCTACTAAAACACATGAGAGATAATCCCTGACATCAATGTAAATCACATACACTTTGTCCAAAAAACAAACAAACAAACAAACAAACAAAAAAAAAAAACAGGGTTCAGGTACAGAATCACCAAGGAAGAAAAAAAAAAAGCACACAATACTACTGCAAATTCAAGCCACTATGGCAAAACAAAGAGAAAATATTTATTGAGGAGCTGGATGGCTCAAATTCTCTGTAATGCTGAGGAGGTCACCCTCAGGTCACCTTGCAGATTTAAAGGAGAGGACAAGAAAATTCCACCAGCACAGGTCATAAATACACAGAGAGAGATGGAAATAACATGAGAAAGTGTGCACTCTGTCCTGAATTGAGTCATAAGAGTCTGAGAGGAAAAAATAAAATAAAATAAAATGAGAGTCTTGGCCTCTGCAGAAATCCCAGCAGAATGCTGACCTCGCTTGGTGATTTGTTACAGATTGATCGGCAGAGTGCAAGCGTCGACCGCATGGCTTTTTAGGTGTTTTCAGAAAAATATATTAACAAGTCGCTCTCTGGATGGTTGTGTTTTTTTCTTCTTTTTTTTGTCGTAAATGTCAGTAAACAAATCAACACTCTGCAGTTGAAATGCTGAAGGGATGGCGGATGATTGCACACACGTTGATGGATACAAAAACGTTCAGGCTGAAGGAGGAGAAGAAGAAGAAGAAGAAGAAGAAGAAGAAGAAGAAGAAGAAGAAGAAGAAGAAGAAGAAGAAGAAGAAGAAGAAGAAGAAGAAGAAGAAGAAGAAGAAGAAGAAGAAGAAGAAGAAACGCGGCGTAGCCCTTACGGGTCTCCCCCTCTCCAACCTCCCTTGCCTCCCATCAGGAGGGGGAGCCGACTCACACGGTCAGCTTGGTCTGGACTTTTTCAATGTGCTTTAGCGAGAGCCAGAGGGTCTCGGGATGGAGGGGCAGTCTGTCCTCGTTGTTTTCAACCACAGTGTTTGTTTCCCAGCTGGGCCTCGGCGCCCCGCCCTGGCTGACTCAGAGCGCCAGGAGCGTGGGTGAGTTGAGGGAGTCGGAGGATTGGTCGCCGCTGCTGCTGCTGCGCCGGTGGGCTTTGGAGCAGGACTCGGAAGAGGGCGAGGGGCTCTCGGGCTCCATCATGTTGGGATAGGTGAATATGAGGTTTTGGGCGTTTGGCGTGGCTGCTGGGGTGGACGCCACCACCACCGGCGTATTGAGGCTGTCTCCGTCCGGGCAGTACATCCCGCCGCTGATGCCGCCGCCTCCCAGGCAGATGGGCTTGATGACGGAGCGCTGGGGCTTGCCCACCTCCTCCTCTATGTCCTCGGGCTCCTGCTTCACCACCACCTGGTTCATCTGTGCACGCGGATTCAGGCTGGGGCGCATGGTGAGCTGCAGCGGGTTGCACTGCTGCTGCTGCTGCTGGTGGTGGCTGGACTGCTGATGGCGCTCGTCGACGGGCAGCTTGCACACGGGGTTGTGGGCGACCAGCATGAACTCTAGCTTGTCTTTCTCCTTCTGCAGGCTCTCGATCTCCTTCTGCAGGTCGGCCTTCTCCTCCTCCAGCTTCTCGGTCTCCTGTTCAGAGGAAGGACAACATCAGCTGGGATGTTAGGGCAGCGGCAAGAGCGCGACAGGTCTGAGAAACTATGGACAAACTTTGAAGGAAATACGAAATAAACGTCAGAAATAGATTTTTGGACAAACTGTTAAACTTTTAAATCCATATGTGTTGAAAATCAAGTAATATCTCTTTACATCTTTATCATTATTACTAATATATGACATTATTATTATATTACAATATGCGAATATTACATTGTAATGATTTTAATAGTTATATGTATAAATATATGATAATATATTCAAATAACATAACTACATTGGGGATTTTTATTGTGAAATTATTTTTCATTAAAAATTCCTAGTTGCAATTGTTTTCCATTGTAATATATTTTGTTCCTCTTCTGATCTATGTATTTGTTTTTTTTCCCCCATTATTTGTTTGTTTTAATGCCGTTTATCTTTTTATTTTCTACGTGAATATTTTTGGTTTACATTTTCAAAATATTCCACCAAAATGATTTATTGTCATTTTCCAGTTTCCATTCTATTTATTTACTTATTTTTTCCTATATTTTTCCTAAATTGATATTTATTTATCAATTGATCAATTTAAATAATTATATTTTATGAAAATATAATTATTTATTGTTAATCAGTACATTTACTTCTGATTCTTCTCTTTTGTTTATATTTTTAATTTTTCTACATTATTTATTCTATTACTGATGTTCTGTTTTTATTTTTTAAAATATGTTTTATTTGTATGTTTTTTTCTTACATTTATTGTTCTTTCATTCAGCCATTTATTTATTAAGATACTAAAAACAATTAGTATTTGTTTCATTCTTTTAATTTACATTTTTATAACAAGACCTTTTTATTTTGGTGGTATTCAGTTGTTTGACTTATCTATTTTCTTATATTTTTCTAGTGTTGTGTTTCTTTTGGGAATTTTATAGACCTGTCATATTTGTTCTCCCTTTTTTTATTTCGTTTTTATTTTTGTATCTTCTTTTGCTTTGTTTCACTCGCTTCTGCAACGTGCCGCAGTCGATTTCTAAGCAGAATTCCTGCGGCTGTTTCTGTCTGAATCTGACAGTAATCATACAGAAAAGCCTGAGAGCGAAGGGAGTAACACGCAGCACACGGCAGACTGCCTTTTGTTCAGAGATTTGGAAACAAAACGATCATTAATCTGTACCAAGTCTATTAATTCGTTCAGCAGAGCCTCCAGAAGGTTTCTGTCATTTCCTAAAACACCAAAAGAGGGCAGTGTTCATCCGCTTCTGTTTCTGTTGATTTATTGTCAGGAGACCTCGGGACCAACGCCATGCAACCTGTAAGCCGAGTGTCTGAATTTGAGCGTCGCCTAATGACTCTGTGTTGCTTGTGTCTCTAGGGGATGCCATCTCCTCTGGCCATTGTACACAGACGTGTCAAATCAAAAGAAAAAGAGAGGAGGAAATTACTGCAGGACGTCAGACCGGCAGCGATAAAGCCGACATGCTGTCTGAGAACTTTGACTCATGGGCAAAGGTATCAGGAAGTCCTTCGTGAGGACTGACGCGAGTCTTCAAGTAAACATTGCGGCTTAATTTCACTGGAAAGTTTCTACTTTTGGATCAGTAAAAAAAAAAAAAAAGAGAGAAAAAAAAAGGAAAAAATCCAGTGTGATGGTCTTTTTGATTTTTGGTGTGCGACGTTTAAAATTTTGCCTACGGCCAGATCCACTACTCCAGGTTATCTTCCTCTTTAATTGTCTGACAAGCTCAGCCTCTCTTTAATTCCACTAATTAGTCCATTTAGATGCCGTTACTGTCTGCCTACGAGACAGCCCAACCTCTGTCTGCAGCCGCCTGAGACAAAAAGCTTTTCAACGCCTGTCATTTCTTCAGTCAGAGCCAGCACTTAAAGAGTCAAACCAGTCCGGCGGGGTTGCAAAAGCAGGAGTGGAGTTCAGGCTCTCGCCAGAACGCCCGGCTTCACAAATAAGCTGTGCACCGATCAGCTGGACGGTGATGCTCACCCCCTGCAGCATCTCCGTCAGCTCCCGCCTGCGGTTTCTACATTTGGCTGCGGCCAGCTTGTTCCTCTCCCGTCTCACCCTCCGCTTCTCCTCTTCCTCCGGGGTCAGCTGCGTGCAGAAGAGAAGAAGAAGACGCGTTAGACGAGCTGTTGGATCGATAGGCGGGGGTGACTGTGATGTAAAACTCTCAGACTAACACACCTGTTCCTCCCTCTTGCGCCGTCTGAGGTCGCCGGTGGAGCGGATGACCCCGGGCCGGGCCAGTGTGTTGTGCGGCAGCAGGCTCGGCCCGTTGGTCAGGTGATGTCCATACGGGTGGGAGCGGGAGTACGGGTTGGACATGGAGGTGATGACGGTCGGCTGCACCATCCACTGCAGGTCTTGGCTGGTTGTGATTGCATTGATTGTAGGGATGAAGGCACTGTTGGAGCCAGGCATGTCAACCCTGTACTTCTGGAAAAAAAAAAAAAAAACAACAAAAGGGAAGAGAGAAAAAAAGAGTGATGAACGGGTTGAAAAACAGTCACCATGTTCGGCCAAAACTCGTCTTCGCCTCTTAATCCTCTGAGCATCTCAGTGCATAAATTTGCTGGAAGCACCAACACCGGGTGTTGCATCCAACGCCTCCCACCATTATTAAATTCACACATCCCCCCCCCCCCTGTTTAAAGGCTTATAGTAATGATTCAATCCACGTCGACTGTAACCCCCAGAGTGGAACGGTGACACATGCAGTGAATCATGTGGGGAAGCCCAAAGGTGTCCGGCACATCTCATTGTTCTACAAAAAGCAGAATGAGACCAACGGTGATGAAACATCTGCTCTGTGGAACGGGTCGGTTTGCTGCCCATCTGGAAACTAAAGAAAGCATTAATTTGTGGAAAACTTTAAACCTAAAACAGGCACCAGTTTCCGTTGGTTTTTTCTTTTTTATATATATATCCACAGTTGCATCTCCAAGGGCATCCAGAGAGGGTAATGTCCACCCCAAACCAAACACTCCAAAGAATAGCTGTTTTTATGAACAGGAATTCAAGAAAGGATCGAGTCGTCAACTAGTTGAAAAGGTTTTCATTATTTGCTTATTTCTTTTTGACTTATCATCGTCCTTTAAATATCCAACTTTTGAGCATCCTCCCAATATAGCATGGAACTGCAGCATACTAAAACCCACACTTTTTTTTTTTCTTTCTGTGATGGTTCATTACACCAAGACAGTAATTTTAATCCTTTTTCAGAGTTTTCTGAGTTCGACCCTATTTCACAATAAAAAAAAATCCAACTGGAGAAGCAGCAGGGGTTTCGTAGAGTGTCTGCATTGGATAAACACTTTTCTGAGCAGATCGCTGCTCCTCCACAGATGGAGGACCTGTCAGCTGCGCGTAATTTACGCACGTCCCGGGCTCCCCGAGCCTTCCCCCCTCCACTTATTCCCGACTTTCCGTCGGATATCCCGGCAGTCTATTGGAACTTTGTTTATCACAATGACTCACTGTGTATGGGATTTGTCCAGCACGTGTGAACCGAGCTCAGTTCCAGTAAGAAAGGGGGAAGCGGCCAGCTCGAACAAGCCGGGAATTCTTATCCAGAAATACGGCACGGAGAAAGAAAAAAAAAATCCTGTTAAGTAATAAAACAAGCATGGATGGATAAACTCGCTGCAGCAGAGGCACGGACATTCCTTGGAGTCGTTATACGAAATGCTAGAGGCGTGATAAAATATTCTATTGCTCCAATAAACAGAGAAACAGGAGGTCATGTAATGGAAAACTGGCAGTGAGTGATTACAGGCTGATAGATGCGGGCCAAAAGTCGTTTACTGTAAGGTTGCATGAGCCTGACGCCACTTTTCCACAGAAGTGCAGCAGACGTAAGACCGGGGTGTGGGGAAATAACATGCCTGGTCCTGGATTTATTTTTATATTTATATAGATATATATTCCGAAGCATTCAAGCACGCTGCAGTCTGAGTTAATATTCAGATCCCGTTGTCTTTGTTTTCTAAACGGCTCAATGGATGGCATTTCCTCAGTAAGGAAGCGTTATGCAGGCGTTTGATCGCTCTGTCCGTGCGAGCTGCTTCCCGCTGGAGGAAATGTGCCATGTGCGGCCGAAGAGCCCGTCGCGTCCAATCAGACGGTCCGGTACATAATAATAAAATATTTCCGCAATATTTGATGAGCCGCAATCACAATCAGCTGAAAAAAGAGAAAAGAATAGAAAAGAAAAAAGAAAAGAAAAGAATAGAAAAGAAAAAAGAAAAGAAAAGAAGCGCTGCTTCTGAAGAGCGTGTTTGCGTGAATTTCACCCGGCTCCACACATGCCTGTTGCATCCAGAACACGCTTTATCTCCGATCAGCTCAGTCTGTCGGTTCTTCGGGGTTAAAATGCATAATAAAAAAAAATGTATCTCAAACCAGCTAGACGACACAAAGAAAGCCACAGATTTACAGATAGACAGGACTGCATGTCAGCTACAAATCAGAGGCTTGAATCCATGGCAGTTTGAACTGAATAGCAATCGAATCGTGTGAAACGCTCTGTGCTAAATAATAAATGCTTTGTCTGCGTGCGTAAAATCCAGATTTTTCGCCGGTAAACGTGCGCGTTGGTCACATTTTCCAACATTTTAAAAACATATTCATTCGCTAATACGGCTATTTGTATTCTACAAACTCATAATGGGAGGGGGGG